GTCCAGATATGAAAAGTGTGTGAGGTGGAGTTCTGCCCTTAAGGGGGTTAAGCTGTTTAAAAGTCTGATGCCTGTAGGGGAGAAATTGTTGTTAAACCTGTTTCTGCATCATCCTCCTGTACCTCCGGCCAGAGGGTAGGAGAGTGAATAACCCATGCTGGTGGTGGGTGGGGGTCTTTAATGATGGAGGCAGCGCTACTTTGGACTTGGAGAGTTGGGTGTCCTGGTGGTCTTTACCAATATCTGCAGGTGTCTGCGGTCCCACTTATGGAGCTGCTGTAGCGCACTGCGATATTGCTTTTATAGATTATTGCATATTTTTTCCAATATTCAGGCATTTTCTGACAAGGAGTCGTAAAGATTACATGCCACCCATACAGATTTGTCATTTAAGAAATTAACATGGGTCTGTAAAGACTAAAATTTTTATAGTATATAATTTAACACAACAGACCAGAGCTCACAGATTAGAGGACCGTGGTCCGGATCCGGACCCAACCTGATTTTAAACATTTATAAATGACTGCATGTTGCCTGATGACAGTGTCTTACTTCATTTGTGCCGCTTCTTCTGTTAATATGGTAAACCCCTCCAGAGCGCCCGGGAACAGGCTGCATGTAATCTAAGTTAGCCAATGAGCTGTCAGTCTGGGTTGCTGCTGCTGCTACTTTTAGACACAGCAGGCAAACCTGTGGCAAGCCGGGCGATGGGAAAGAAGGAGAAGACGATGAGAAAATGAAAGCAGAGAAAGTGTGAACTGCTGGAAGAACTGTGGTGAACTGGTGAAAGAAAAGAGAAATGGCGTGCTCAAAGATGACCCTGCACATTTACTGTAGAGGATGTTTGGCTCAACCTGCTGCTGTAAAGCAGGATTCTCCACCATGAACAGAATCAAAAATAAATCTGGATCCAGGCTCAAAATGAGCACCTTGATATTTGCTTGAGAATGGCTTAGTCTCCATTTAAACCCAGGTTTAAAGTCTTGCAGGGCAGCCTAAAGCCCACTGCGAACATTAAGCCAGAAAAAATAAAAAATAATGGTCAGTTCAGGTGTTTATAAAAGATGTGAATCAGGATTTTGTCTATATACCAAACTGACAGATTGTTGTTAAATATTTTTTTTTTCTCATTTAAAAGATCAGTACAGTATATAAGATGGATGCATGAACACCTGCATTTTATTTCAGTGTTAAATTTCTGTTTAAAGTAACAGATTATAATTAGAAATGTCTCCAAACCTTTACTGGTTGTTGATTTTCTTTATTCGGACCCCGTTTAATTGGTTAACCCTGCTCTAGACCATCAGGAAATTAGAAAAGCCAGTTAAGATCGCTTTAATGTAAAAAAATGTAAAACATGAGCATTTCTAGAGAACTTCAAAGTGCTTAAAAAGGCCCAGTATCTTCCTCCTGGTAGCCATTTCATTATACAATGCTGTGAGGGGACTATCATTCACAACCAGCTTAAGCCTGAGCACAATGCCGCCCATACTGGGAATGCACATTGTCCTATGACGTGAATTTACTTTAAATTCCATCTGCTCAGCATTTTCTTGATGACTTGCTTATATGCCCTGCAGTATAAGATCCAGGAAGCTGCTGTGCATGCAGCTGCTTGGTTTGCCTGATGTCACTGTGGTGATATCTTACCAACAGCTCCAGGCCACAAATGATCATAATCAGAAACATAAACTGACATGATAATGGTAGGATTTGAAATTTAATACGACCGTAAATACATGTTGCCCATCAGGTAGAATTTAAGCATTTTACAAGATTGAGTAGAATACTGGTATAGGTGCATCGATATATTGCTTATTTAGAAAGCGCATTTAAAAAAATTTGTAAAACCCAAACACTTTAGGGTTTTTCTGTTTTCAATCATGGCATTGTTTGAAAAGTTATTTGTTGGCATCAAAATGGGTGCAAACTTAGGAAGTATTCTTATTCAAACTGATGATGATCAATCAAATCGTTCGATGTGACGTTAACTTATAAACCCCTCATCATAGGAAACATTGTCATCCTGTTCAGATGGCTCTGTGGGTTGTTGACTGTTGAGATGATGGCATATTTGCAGTCTCTTTTACCTGAGTTTTCATTTTTTAAGATATCTCCTATTTACTTGTTTTTCAGAGTGAGTTGATGACCGGGTTTTATTCAGTTGTATTGCTTTTTTAATTTAATTTTTGGAGTGAATAAAGAAAATGAAACTGCAATCACCACCCTTTTTTTGTGTGTGTGCTGGCTTTTCCATTTTACCAAAGAGGGCTAGCTCACCCCTCTTTCAAACTGTCTGCCCTCTATGTCCAAAATCTGAACATTGTCATAAAATATGCATCCTCTGTTCTTGAAGTGCCAGTGTAGAGCTTAATCTTGCACAGAGCCACTGGCTCTCCTGTGCTGCACCATGTGTTTGGTATCCCCTATATGAATTCAGTCCTTCTTTACTGGACCACATTAACAAGCTTTGGGTGTTCTGTCCTTGGAATTAACCAGTTTTTGTCTGAGTTGGTTGTTAGGTTTAAAATTCTCTTATATGTTATGTTTAGTTAAATTTCATATGCGACTCCTTGATGGATGTCAAAATGTTTTTATAAAAACTGAGCAAAAGTCCAGTTGCCTCAGATTTAAGCCTGTTTTTTTGGTCACCATGACCCCGATGGCTGGGAATTTACACAGGAATGAAAGAAAAGCAGAAATAATTCCGTAAATATCTAGAACTGGAAAACACAATTTGTTTTATGACTGCTCAGGATTCGACATTTATCCATCAAAAATACTGTATCCATTAATCTGGGATATCTCTTTTCTAAACTGACACTTCCTTTCCTCAATTTTGTCATCGATAGTTTGGAAAATACACTCTCTTTGGAACCTGCTGACATAAAGCTGAAGAATCTTTGCTTTCATTTGATTTCCGCCTGCTGGAGGATTATTACTTTTTCCCACTTTTGTAAAAAGGTGGATTTTATTACTTCTTCCTGACTACAGATTCCCAAGATGTTCCTTGATGTCTGATCCCATATCCTGTATCTGTATTCAAAATCATGTTTTTTTAAACTCCCTGTGAGGTTTAGCCCAACTGTTTAACATTATTTGTTTTCTTCTTTTAGGTTTTACAGGCCTTATTGATGTACTGTAGAAAGTATTTTTCCCAGACGCCTTTTTTATTTTTGATTTATTTACCCAAATGCTTCTGTTTTTTTTTAAACATTTAATATAACATGATGGATAGCATAAATACAAGAAGGGCTGTTAATGAAGTCGGTCATCAATGAAAATGCGCTCTGAAATTAATAGACTATCATTGGCAGCAACAACTAAATGCTACAAGTACAAGTACAATGCTACAAGTAAATGCTAATATTGATTCTGTCTATTACATCAGTCTCTGTTATCTGGCCTTTTTTCAGCTTTCTGTGTACGGGGATTAAAGGGGAAATAATGGGGATTACGTTTGGAAGCTGTACAAGGAAAAAAGGCTTCCTTGTTCTTTAGCCAATCATAAGTGGATTTGATGCTATGCTTTGGATCATTATCCCACTGTAGGTCACAAGGTCGGCCTCTGCAGATGGCCGCTCACACTGAGCCTGGTTCTGCTGGAGGTTTGTTCCTGTTAAAAGGGAGTTTTTCCTCTCCACTGTCGCTACAAGCATGCTTAGTGTCAGGGAATATAAAACTTTTAATCAATTTGACTGTAGCATCTGGTGAACTGTAAAGTCCCTTGAGATGAGATATGTTGTGAATTGGCGCTATAAATAAACTGAATTGAATTAAATTGAAAAATCCTTGCCAAACATTTTGCAGAGTAGAGAGTAGAATCTTTGTTACTTTTAATTAAAGTAAACACATCCAGGTCCTGAAGCTGTAAAGGAACAGTCCTAGATAGATAAGACTGGCCTTTGTCTTCTCTTTGCCAGCCGTGTTTTTGCCTTGAACTCCCTTCGTCACACATAGAAAGGTTATTATAGATAACCTATAAATAGAACATGAATTCTGTATTTACTCAGGTTGTCTTGGTTTGATTCTAAATTATCAGATTTGATGTGAAATGTTAGTGTTATTAAAAAAACAACTTTGTTTTTAAATATTCCAAGAAGTCCAATGTTTCAAGCTCAGTAAATGACTTTGTTGCTGGTATTTTACACGTTGCTGTATTGACTGAGATGACCTTTGCATTGTGATGTAAAAGCTTGAAGCTTGCCATATTAGCTTTTGCCCTTTCAGTGAACAATCCAGCATGACTTCTTTATGTTAATGTAAAACACGTTGCAGGATCGGTCGTGTAATTTAATGTTATGTGAACTTGATTACATGACTGATGAAGTGTAGCTTCATATTTACACCAAAGATGTTTCCTTATCAGATGGACACAGTCCAGTAGCAGCTTATACATGCCAAGTTCATATCTGTTTAAATACCACATAAGGCTAGAATAACGAAGCTTGATATTGTATTTTGTGTAACAGGAGCTTAAGTTGGAAATGATTTGTTCAGAAAATAAAGAAAATCATTCTGCTTGTTCTTCCATATATGCTGTAAATTTATGCACCAACATTGAGAGAAAGGGAGGAATATCTTTCCACTGATCTTAGGTTTTGCATTTAGCACCAAAGACAGATGCTGGCCCACTCAGCTGCTGTACCTGATGTAATCTCCCATGCTGAGCTGGATTGATTCTGTTATGCCTTTGCTGGGTGGGCGAGCAGACCTGCCAGCCGAGTCTGTGCAGTAACTGGAGCATGGATCTGTGGTGTCGGGAAGAGCCCACAGGAGCTGTCATGGTTTTGTTATGTAGGTTAAAGCTGCTCACAGAAGCAACAGGGCTCTGGACGTTTTCCTTGGATCAGCTTAACATTGAAGGGATTTAGTGAATGCAAATTGGACACTAAAACTAAAAAGCTGTTTTCTGAAACTGGGATTGAAAGCGTTTGATCAGCCTTTTATCTGTGCTTTCTGAATTTGAATGAGATTGTATATTTTGTGTTTCTCTTCAGAAACTGGTTCAGCCATCACTTCCTCTTGTATCGGCCTGGGTAACTCGCTCACGCCACCTGCAGGCCAGGCTGGGAAACCAGTTCCAGGTTACAACGGTAAGAAATGTACCAGGCTATTCATCTATTATTCAGCACATCCATCCCTCCATCTGTCCATCACTCATCACCTTTTCGTTTCTCCATCCACCTTGATGTCTTTTAAAGGGAAAAACCTCAGAACCTTAAAAAACTCTCTGCCATTGTTTTAAAATTTAATAAATCTATTAAGAACTTTGTTTTATGTTTATGTGGTTCTGGTAACTTAATAACCAATGGGGTGTTTAAAAAAAAGTATCTATAGGTGTCTATCGATCGATAGATATATATATATAGATATCTATCTCTATATATATACATATATGTGTGTGTGTGTGTTTTAATTCTCAACATGTTTAGTTGGCCAGTTTGAACACGGAGGCTGAAAAGAAACCGACTGATCACCTTGTTTTCTTGTAGTTACTGTAATCGATGATGACATGCAAGATGTGAAGCCAAGAACTCTGGGAAATATTGTGGTCAGGTAAGCCAAGCCGACATTAGACGTAGTTTGCTTTTCTTTAAAAAACTCACACACGTGCAGAATATTTTGTGTTTGCAGAAAAGCAGCTCAACAGACATGAACTCTGTGAGACGAGCAGCACATGTTTGACTTTACCGGTTAGTTTCTCTGAAAGCAGAGAGCTGGTAATTTACATTTTTTTATAACACAGATTTTCTAAGCGAATTTCACAGAAAGTAGCAGAGCTTTGTGTGCTGCTCTCAGTGCCAGCCTGCTCCCTGTCAGTTATCACCCTCCACTCCACTCCCCTGCACTTTTTAAAAATGCTGGTAATGACCGAGTGCTGCTGAGGGGGGATTTCCAATATGCGGCGCATAGAGTGACAGAGTTTGAGCTCTTAAGACGGGCAGGAACAGCTGTGTTATTGTTCCTCCTGGTCTTAGGAGGAAACCTGGACCATTTCTTCTATTTCATTCACAAACTGGATCTGCTGCTCTAGAAAAACAGCTTGAGGTGGACATGTTTGAATCTATTACAACTCCTCACCTCTTTATCCCTTGATAGTTAGTTGATATACGATGGGGCGTTCAATAAGTAATGCCCCTGACCCACTTCCAGATGTTTGACGAACCTGAAATTTTTCATGTGAAATATTGATTAAATTGCAAATTACAGCTCTGAACTAATTGTGGTTTCTGATTAACAGGTGTTCAAACTGAGACAAGTCTGTGTTTGCATTTAAAAGGATGCACACAACGGGAGACGTTTGATCAAATGAAAGTTACTTATAGTGATAATGTCCCATAATATAACCCTGTAAAACATTTTGCAAGGTCATATAACGGGCATCATCACCATAAGTTACTTTAATTTCATCAAAAGTCTCCGGTGGTGTGATTGCTTTCGAATAGAAAATCGGATCACTGCTCGACACTCAGCAGGCTGCATTTCAGACTTTCCTCATTTCAAACACCTGTAAGTCAGAAACCACAAATAGTTCAGAGCTGTGATTTGTTACTTAATCGACAGAGATTTAAATAACCTCACATGCAAAATTTCAGCTGGATCAAACATCTGGAAGTGTGTCAGTGGCACTACTTATTGAATGCCCCTCGTAAAGCTACAGAAAGATGAGCGCATGAAATGCATCCGATCCAAAACTGATAACTTCTATATTCATAAAGTTATTTCAACATCTTTATCATGCTGTGTTTTATATACACCGATCTTTTAATCTGAACTAAAAAGGAGAACAGAAAAGTTTGAACTCTTTTTCTGCAATGTGGGATTTAGGGATCAGGACATGGAGGAAACTGGCTAAGAGGAGGGATTACTTGTAGTCTCTGTAAACAATGACTTCCTGACCTTTCCTTCCTGCACTTTTTGTTTGTTTGGGTGCCTGTCACCGGGTCGGGTAAGGTCCAGCATAGCTTGGCTGCATATCAAGACGAACTGCAGGGAATTATAAAGATACTTTTATTTAAATTGTTCAAAAACACTGATTATATATTTTGAAGTTGCTCGGAGCCCAATTAGAGGCAGTGAGACATTCGGTCTTTTATTTTTTTCACAGCTTGTTTATTTCTGCCTTTTTTCCCCTATAGATTACCTTTACCACCTGGAGCTGCTCTGTCCCTGTGGCAAAACAAGGATCTGTTCAAGGAGCTCTACTTCTCCAAGTTCCCGGTAATTTCTTTGTTGCTTTAATAACTGGATTAGTTGTTCTTTATGATGCAGTCAGTTCCGGTTTTATAAAGTATTAGTAAAAAGGCTGACTCCTTTGGTGGAAAAAGGTAGACCTCTAGTGTTTAAATTTGATATTGCAGAATAACTACTAAAGTTTAGCATGTAAATAACATGCTAAATTTGCATGACCTAATTTTTCTAGGATGCTTTAATGAAACATTCTTTCTTTTTTACATTTATATATACATATATTTACATATGAAAAACATAGAAATGTAAATTGATGTGAACACCTTTACTTTTAATATCTCTCCTAGGGATACTATGACACAATGGATGCTGGATTTTTGGATGAGGAAGGTTTCCTTTACATTATGTCCCGGTCTGATGATGTCATCAACGTGGCTGGCCACAGGTTGTCTGCTGGAGCTCTAGAAGAGGTGGGATCATCATTGCATGGATTTGTAATGACGGTTATTTTTTCTTATATTAGTTTCTAGTAATAATAATTGTTAATTGATTTTTTTTTATTGATCTCACATTGGAGAAATGTACCTCTGCGTTTAACCCATCACCTTGAGGCGCAGTGGGCAGCCATTGTGCGGCACCCAGGGAGCAGTGTGGGGTTAAGAGTCTTTGCTCAGAGAGCCAGAGTAGCAGGCTGTGGGAGTGGGGCTGGAACTGAGAACCTCAGGATTCCAAGCTCTATGCTCTAACCACTATGCCACCACTCCTCCCTTTAATTAAAAGGACGTTTTTGTTTCCTCCAGTCGGTGCTTCTGCACTCCGCCGTGGCAGACTGTGCTGTGGTGGGCCTCGAGGACTCTCTGAAGGGCCACGTTCCTTTGGCGCTGTGTGTACTTAAGCTAGGTGAGTGATATAGATTCTTGTAAAGGTTACACATTTTTGATTACAGAAGGGGATGGGTTCCAGATATCCACAGCTCTGTGAACTTCAATAATTAGGGCTTTTTGGGGAAAATGGCAAAAAGCAAGATGAAGGCCTGTTTGTCACAAGCCATATGCATTAGGAGTCACAATAAATGTGAAAGATGTTGTGCTGGTTAGATGACTGACAATAAACTTTAGGCTGTGTCCAAAGTGCTTTGTGTGCTGAAGAACCTGCTCTGCACCATATATTGATGCATGATGGTCTTGGCTGATTAGTCAGAGTTCAGACTTGAAAATAAAGAGTTAACCCAGTTTAAACTTTAACATTTTGCAAAAATTTTTTTTTGCCTCAGGTGTGCAGAAAACCAAGGAAGAAATCATAAAGGAGGTCGTGAAGCTTGTAAGAGACAACATCGGGCCTGTGGCCGCCTTTAGGAATGTGCTCTTTGTTCACGGGTTACCGAAAACGCGTTCCGGAAAAATCCCTCGCTCTTCTTTGGCCAACCTGATCAACGGCAAACCCTACAAGGTAGGATGCATTTACATGTCCTACTGGAAATGTTTTTATGTCCTAGAAAATAGAGACTAAAGATTCAATGAATGCTGGTTCAGATTTTCACTCTGTAAATATTTCCCTTCACAGGTCACTCCAACCATTGAGGATCCTGAAGTGTTTAAAGACATTGAGAGGCAAGTAGAAAAAGTTCTGAGACGACATTCAGCTTGAACACAAAGAAAACTGGACCACAGTATTACTCCGTTAACATACGTAGCGTAGTGAAATGAATGTGAACGTTTTAGAGAAATAATTCCTTTAACACCCCTGACTAAAACAAATGTGTGCCTTTACGCGTTTATATATTTTTAACATACTAGAAAATAATCCTGCTTATCCTTAAGAAGTGATTAGCGGGTATTAGGAAGGCGTTGATTATAATTAAAATCTCACAGGTACAGCAACTAGAGTTTCGCTTTAAATTTGTCGTTTCTTATAACCAAGGAACACATTTTAGTTCATACTGGTAAATGCTGAGCTGGACTACAAGGGGAAATTTGACAGTAAATGTAAATCCTAAATAATGTAGGGGTTGATCTACAGTATTTGCTTCAAAATATTTAATTTGGTGTGTAATCCTACTCTTAAATATTCCCAATAGAATTTGACGGAACTTAACTTTTAAACCAATTGATGTCTACTTTGTAGCATGTAATAGTAAATTATCCTTGAGTTTTGACTTGACTCAAAGGTTAACCAAGTTGCCCTTAAACTAACAAAAGGTTTAGTTGAAATTCATGCAGAAAGTTGTTTTTATAAATTTCCGTCTAAGACGCCCAAAAAGTATAATTTTTGTAAGGATAAAATCGCATACAGTCTAGTTAATATTTTAATTTCCAAAACTGTTCGTTGGGTCGACAAAGTTCTCAGAAAGCCAGTTCATCCGTCCCTTTTTCATGTGAATGGATTGCAGGTGTTACAGATAACAGATACAACTTGTTGTATCTGTTATCTTAGTAGCAGCTTTATGAAACTTCTTTAAGTCCTCCTCTCCTTAAAGTCCATTCAAATGTAGTTTTTACATGTAGAAGTAATTCTATTAAACTAATAAGAAGTTAAACCAAGCTGTACAGTACAAATCTTATTTTTTATTCTAGCCAATTATCAGCAGAATGTTTTGGAAAAGCTTAGCTAGATGTGATTTAGTATTTATACCAGTAACCCATATGACGCAGGTTTTCATAAAAATGTCTTAACTGGCTCCAGTGTGTTAATGTTAAAAAGCTGAACACTGGGCCTTTATTAGTTCTCCTGCTGTCCTAGAAGTGCAACAGCTTTTTGTCCCTGGTAGATGAGCAGGGAAGTACTTAAATATTATCGCGTTTCTATTAATTGGAATTTTGGGCTAGCCAATATTTATTTAATCTGACTTCTGATCAAACCAAGACAACCTTTGATTTTAACTGCATTTCGTTAAATTTTGTGAGAAACAGCTAAGGTTCTGGAAAAAATAGTACCGCAAAGCTTCAAAGGCACCGTCAGTTTTCCCCTTAATATCTGCTGACTATACAAAAATAACCACGCTTTGATAAAACATCGCAGATATTTCTCCCAAAAAAGTCAACAGGAAGTTGCAATTATTTCAGTTTAATCACACTGCAAAAATGTCTTAAATTAGGTGTATTAACCCTCAAATTCAGTAGGTAAATAGGATTATTTGCCAATGGACTGAGTATTTTTAGTCTTAAAATAAAAAATTAGACAAAGCAATAGTTCTCTTTTAAATGTAAATCATCTTGTTCCATTTGGCAAAGTGTCTCACTTATCTCGTAAATTCAAGAATAAATGACTTTAGATTTTAATTTTTTGCAGTGCAGGGGTGCTAAATGAATCATTAAACCAATAGGTACATAAACAAGATGTTTAGAATGTTATAAGTTTGCTCTCCATTTTCATATTTGAACCGGCAATCTGTACCAATAGTATACCTAAGAAAAAATAATATTTTCTGGTATCCTGCTCAGCCACACAAATTGTATTAGTGGGGGATCTTTGCGTAACAATGTTTTGATTTTATACCAGTCTGAGTTTTTTTTTTTTAAATAATGCTGTAAATTGTTTACATTAATGTAAAATCATATTGCACTATAACCTTTGCAGATTACATATTTCTAATGAAAACTAATGCAACAAAAGCTCACTAACGTCTTTTTTTATTGACAATGAAAACTTGTTTGCGCACCACTTAGTTCTGACCAAAGTACAAGAATAAAAAAAGGAAACAAAATGAATCCTCATTCGTGCAAATGTAAAAACAAATGTGTAAGACGTTTGCTGTCCGTCAGAAAAAAAAAGACAAAGAACAGGGCTGTACAGTAGGTTACCCTGAACATTTACACCAAAATGGAAGTCACAGCAAGCAACAGGTTTTTTTTTTTTTCCTTTTTTAAATCATTAGGTCACCTCACTTCAACATATTCATAAACACTCTACACACACTATGAGCTAAAGCAGTCTCTTTCAATTATTTCATCTCTTGGGTTTACAGGAGGGGCGGGGTAAAAGGCCAGCTCGGCTGTAAGTGTAGTCTGTGTTGATGTGCTGCCTCACAAAACGTTCATTTTAACAAGGAACGGCTCTGCAGATGCTTTTAATGTTTTCCTAGTGAAAGTTGTGTCTCTTGTTTTGTCCTTGGCTACTAGGTTTTCTGAGTCGATGCAGTTGTATGAAAGTGCTTGTCATGTTGTTCCAGTGTGCTGACAAATCCTCCATCCTATGATTAGTCCTTAAATAAGTTGTTAGAGCAGCCCACCACTAGAGGGCAGATTTTCTCAACATCCAGCAGACCCTCTTCATAATTTTCATTAGCACAATGAAAAAATAAAACCCTATGTACAAAATGATCTAGAGGAACATGGAGAGTTTAAAGAGCAGCATATATTCATCTATGGTCCGCTAAATGAGGTGGCAGGGACATTTTTTGCACAAACCCCTAATCTTTTTATACATAGATGTTTATATATTAAAAATGGCATATTTATAAGAATTTACAGATAACCTACACAGTACATTATGCTCTGACAAATTACTTTACATGTAAAAGGTAGAAATGGTGACAACGAGGCAGCCTGCAGGACAGTTTAGCACCGGCATCTGGTGCCTGCGTTAGAAATCATGGAGGGGGGGGGGATCAGAGAGGAAAGCAGGGCTTCTTGGCAGTGCGAGTCATCGGATTGTTTCTCAGCAGATCGGCCCCTTTCTTTCAGAACTGCAGCTGAAAGGAGAAACAAGAGGTTGGCTGTTTCAGATTATTTCTCCCCATGTAAAACGGTGACCAGTGCTAATGACATAAACCAACCTTTCTTTGCTTTGTTTAGGCTGCTTAATTTGAGTTAGAAATCCTGTGATGCAACATTAGCTAGCTTTGGTCTCAAGCTCCGTTTGACTGTTTATATACTGACAGAACAAAGAAGGTAAGATACCCTGGCAAGTTTTTGGTTGTGCTTAAAGGGTAACGCTGTTTTTTTTTTTTACATTGGGCCCTTGATTTTACGTTATTACATCATGTTCTACTCACCCATATTAGTTTTGTGTCATTTGGAGCTGTTCGGTTCTTTCATAGCCAAGTAAGGTCTTCCTATGGGCAACGAGTTGAAGGCACAAACTAAACTGTTCATAATTTATTCTTTATGGTACGCCATCATTCATAACATGTAGGCGAATCACTGTCTCCCAGACATCCACAGTGATATTTTTTTAAAACAAAGCGACGTCATACACACTCCGCTTTGTTTAAAAAAATATAACCGCTGATGTCTGGGGGACAGTGATTCGCCTACATGTTAAATTATGAACAGTTTAGTTTGCCTTCAACTCATTGCCCATAGGAAGACGTTACTTGGCTATGAAAGAACCGAATATCTTCGGAACAGCTCCAAATGACACAAAACTCAAATGGGTGAGTAGAACACGATGTAATATAAAAAGAATGGTGTTCCCCTTTAAGGTTCAGTTGACAGTTTTTATGCATTAGGCAAAAAATATTCCTATTCAGTTAAACTACTAAGCACCAATGTCCATGCTTGTTTTTTTGCAGGTGATCATTGTGAGCAAAGCAGAATTTGTCCCCCAACTTCCTACTCTGCAGAGTTACAAGCACATTTCATGCTGATGAAGATTGTTAGGGGGAATTTAAATCCATCCCTACGGTGGCTGACAGGTATAAACGTTCTCTAGAACACTAGAGGGAGTCGAACAAAGAACCAACCATATAGGAAAAGAATGTTTTTTTTTTTGTAATATGCGTTTTAAAATGAAAGATTACTTCCTGTTTGTTATAAGAATTTTTATCATAGTCATTCGAAAAAAGTTAACAATCCACTGGACTTAGTTTTCAAGTTTGAAGATGTTTCGTTTCCCAGCCAGGAAGCTTTTTCAATTCAGAATTAGCACGAGTTCAAGGCTTTATAGAGTGAACCAAAAAACATGCAGTAATTTGGGTTCTTTGTTAGCCTGCAAAACCTGATACTGATAGGGGGGTCGTTAGGGGGAGATGTTCTGGTGCTCTGTATGATGGTAGGAAGGAATCATCTCTACCCCTGCAATGCAGCGTTAAATTTGATTCCTTTCCGCAACCCCTATACAGGAGAAAAGAACATCTCGCCGTTCAGTCAGGCCAACAATTTCCCCCAACTGCCCTTCTTTCAGAGACATAGACCCCAAAGGACTGCCCATTCCTTAGGGGCAGACACGTTTTTTTTTGGACCACTCTATAAAGCCTCGAACCCAACACTAATTCTGACATTTTGAATTGAAAAAGTTTCCTGGATGGGAACCCAAACGTCTTAAAACTTGGAAACAAAGTCCAGTGGATTGTTTTAACTTTTTTGGAATGACTATGAATCTCACCACTGATAAAAATCAAAGGAAGAAATCTTTCATTTACAAAAGAACATTTCTTTTCCTATATGGTTGGTTCTTTGTTTGACTCCCTCTAGTGTTCTAGAGAACGTTTACACCCGTCAGCCAACGTAGGGTTGGATTATAAACCCCCTAACAAACTTCATCAGCCTGAGATTTTGAAACAAGGACCGAAATAAATGTGTTTATAACCCTGCAGAGTAGGAACTGGACTTCTTAATCACATTTTTACCTGTCAGCCACCGTACATCTCGATTGCATGAAGGATCTGCTGCAGAGAGGAAGCTAATAGTTTAATTCTGGAAGAAAAGAGGCCATTCGAAAAGCAACCAGCCTCGCCTAAAGCTCAGACGGAGAGTAGGTAGAGAGAAAAGCGGACGCTATTTTCTTAATGATCTGCCTCTGCTGACAGGTGGAAACAGAATTCTATTTAAATGAACTTGCTATACTTTGATCTCCAGTGTCTTACCTGCTCTTTCTGCAATAGTGTGGACTGGGCAGGCAAAAC